TAACTTTTGGCTGGTTTTAGGCTAACTTTTGGCTGGTTTTAGGCTAACTTTAGACTGGTTTTAGGCTAACTTTAGACTGGTTTCCGACTTTTACACCATTTCTCTTTAACAGAACCTGGATTTTTAACTCCTGACCAGAAAAGATCATCTGGACGCTGCGTTTAATTTTCGTTGAGCCGGCTGGAGGACTGAACCAGATTTTGTGATGTAACTTCCTGCCGCCGTACCTGGTCTCCCTGTGGGTGCACAGACACCTGCTGCTGCAGTAGCGCCCCCCACAGGTGGTGCAGGTGTAATGCGACGGGAAGCCGCAGACGCAGCAGAAGTGTCGGGGGGGCAGCGAGGAGGGAGGGGCCGCCGCCGACAGGTAGTTTGGCTCCGGCTTCTCCGACAGGTTCTGCCAATCAGAGAGGAGAGGAGGGGTCAGCTGACGACCCTCAGCCAATCAGGGTTAGGGTGAAGCTGAACGACTCACCTCCTCCTCCAGCAGCGTGGTGAAGTTCTTCCTGAAGCGCTGCTTGAAGTGGTCGCCCCTCGTCTTCCTCTTCTTCTTCTCTGGATGGACAGAGACAAAGACACAACAGAATCAGAACGAGAAAAAACTTTATTTATCCCTGAGGGGCAATTAGGACAGACAGTAGGACAGACAGGAGGACAGACAGGTGGACAGACAGGTCCTCACCTGGCTCTTCCGTCTCGCTGAAGGCGGGCAGGCGGGCAGTAGGACCTGGGGGAGGCAGCGAGGACAGGGGGTCGTCCTGGAGGAAGACAGAGACATGATTGACAGCTGTGGACAGCAGACGCTAAGACAGAGGTGGACTCAGCTGATCTGAGAAACAAGCAAATAAAACAACAGGAAAAAAAAGAAACTATTTTTTTGCGCTGAAACAGAAGAGGGCAACGAGCTGAAGGTCTGGATGGTTCCAGATCTGGTGGCGACGCTGTCGTCATGGAGCACCAACAACCTGGAGCCACTTCACCTCCATCACGCCTCCTCCTGGGTCACAGCGCTGACTGGGAGCTCCTGGAGCTTCACGACCCACCCACCTGGAAGTTGTCTTTCTCCAGAGCCTCCAGCTGCCGGGTCAGTCTCCTCTGCCGGGTCGCCTCATCCAGAACTCTGCGCTGACCGGCCTCCACCCGGGCTGATGGACAGACAGATGGACAGACAGACAGAAGCAAAGAGCGCGTGTTTCCATCAGTCTGGTTCCCTGCAGATACACTTTGAGAAGCTGTGCAACACTCAAACCAAACTTCGTTGTAAAAACCGTGGATTTATCATCTCAGCGCTGTTTTGTTGTTGCCTGAAGCCGCAGCGACACTTTCTGAGACTGACCAAGACTTGGCTGGAGGAGAAGTTAAACTCGGCCGACAGCTGGAGCCTGAAAACATCTCTCATCTCAAGACATCACCCAGAATACTGCCGGTAGCTCCGGAAACAACCCACAGAGAGCCGATCAGTCTCCTTTAATTAGGCTGGTTAACATAATGTTGTATTTTTATGAAGCATTTATGAGCCGAACAAGCTGCCAGTGTGTTTGGATCGGTACCAGCGACGCTAGCATCGTGTGGCCTTCAGAACATGGTAGTTTCTCCTGATGTTGACGTTTCTTCCGTCAGTAAAGAACCAAACAGTTTCTACACCTTCAGTCTTCACGTCTCTCTGGACTATCGGAGCCGGTTAACCGAACCGGATCGTTTGCTGTGACTGGACCTGAACTCACCCGAGCCTTTCTTCTCCAGCACCATGTTGTCTGACGGCGGCGCTACGGCGGCCGCACAGCTCCAAACCTGGCGAAGCGCGAACTCTTCACAGCAGCCCCGAAAACACCCCGTTAAGGTTCCCAAGTGTTCGGAACGGAACCCGACATCGACTTTAAATACGCTGCTGTTTGTCTGGTGACTTCCTGAAGGCGCTGCGGTGACTTCCTGTTTCTACGGCGAGCGCCAAGGTGCTGTTGTGTGAGCGCGTTCCGGCCTCGTGCCTTCAGGAAACACGAAGATGATCAACTCTGAGTCCTTCAGATAAAATCCAGCTACAAAAGAAAGGGTGTGCAGTTCTAGCTTGAGCTTATTTCGTGATCAATGGAGTTAAATCAACATTTAGTTGATCTTCAGCTCGGGTCTGGTTTTATTCAGACGAGCTTTTGAAATGCAGAATGTTTGTTTCTGACATCTGGTCCACCTAAAACCAGCAGAGACCATGTGCATGAAAACATTTAGAGTCACACAACAATCCTGTAAAAACTATGTAATATAAGAGAAACTCAAACCTCTTTGATGCTTTAAAACAAAAAGTTTATTTCTAAACCTGCAGCTCTCCTGATTTAAAGAGATTTTGGTGGTTAAAGCTGCTGACAGTCGAAACAAGTTGAAGCTGCACGAAACTCCAGAAGCCCTTCACTGTGGATTAGTCTCTGGATTCTAGTTTTTGTGAATGCACATGTCTCCAGTGAGGCCCCAGTAAGGTTGACACCATCTCATCTTGTGCAGGACTCGAGTCCTTTTACACTAGTTTTTAGTCATTTTGCCATTTTTAACAGGTTTTTATAAAAGCATTCCCGTCCTCATTACTGGTAGAGCTGCAACCAACCAATAACTGGATAACCAATCATTTTCTGCAGGAATCAGTCAGTTTTGTCTCTGAAGTGCCAGAAAGTGGTGAAAGTGGAGGAAAGAAAGAAACCAGAAAACCTTCAGACTGGAGCTGGAATCAGTTTTTATTTCTGCACGCTGATCAGATCATTAGAGCAGTCGATGAATCAGCTGATCAATGATCGATGACTAATCAGCTGATCGATGCCAGACAGACGCTTTCCCCCCCGACAGACGACACAAACCTTCATCTATTTCACGTCAGTTTTTTATTAAAATCTCAACACAAATAATTTAATGCAGTTTGTACAAAGCCAGACAGTTGATTCCTCGTATCGACAGGCACGTATTGATTGGAGACTGGAGGCAGTGTCGGGTGGAAACCTCGCTCCCCACACAGACGCACAACATTTGCATTTTTTTAAATATCCTGCGAGGAGCCGATGGTTTCACACCAACACGACAACAGGAAACACTCGACTATCTGACAGAAACATGGAGGTGAATTTTAAAAAACTAAACAGCGAAGATCAGAAATATAAAAAGGCCTTTAGTGTTTCCCCAGTAACAGTTTAAGTGGAGTTTCATACCCTGAAAACTCTGTACAGACTTTGAAGTTCTGCTCTCTACAACACATTCACTCTCATTCAACTCTAAAAGATCATCCGATTGGCCGAGACTGGTTGCCGTGGTAACCACCAACATGGATTCAGGCAGCGAGTTGGTGACGAGTTCATGTTTTAACCTTGAGCACAAAGTTAGTAAAAATACCATCATGGTGTAGAGTGTAGCGCCCCCCGCAGGAGCAGCGCCACAGAGTCCTGCGGTGCTGCTTTCAAGTCCAGGTCTGCAGCAGTACTGTTCCTACAGTTTAATGGACAGCACCAGCACACACAAACAGACAAACAATCATGGAGTGTGTTTCACTTCTTGCATAGATTCAGGTATCAAGTTAAGGCAGCTTGGTGATTTTACGAGAGGCTCTTATTTTGAAATGCTCGGCAGCAGCGCCTTTATGACCACAAAGTGTGGTGTGTGGCGTCACGACTGCTTGTTCTGAATGAAAATAAAGTGACTTTACGACGACGGGTCTCTCATAAAGGTTGCTATAGAGACAGAAATCGGTCAGACCACCTGACCAGAGGACATGTTGAAATGATTTAAAACGAGCGATGCGTTCAGGGTCATCACGTCTGTTTCTATAGTGATGACGAGGCTGACTGATGTTCTCTCTCTCACACACACACACACACACAGTTTCTGGGTTTTGTTAGGGGTCCACGAAGGACACCATGATGTATCTGGTCCCTCTGGTGGTGGGAAGCCCCTCGTGGTAGTGTGTCAGGCGGCCGGGATGCATGAAGGACCAGCCCTTCCTGGGAGACTCCACCTTGCAGTTGTACCTCAGGAACCTGCAGCCTCCGCCCTGACACACCGACAGAAATTGGTTTAGTTTTAATTCTTCCTGAACCGTTAGCTACTGAGTATTTTCATCAGTTCAGGAGAGTCTGTACCTCATAGTCGACTCCCTTGCTGTTCAAGGCAATGTTGATGGTGAAGGTGGAGGAGTCGTGATGCGGCCGTAGAGACGGCTGCTCATCAGGACGGTAACGCACCACAAAGTTCATGATGGCCTGTGCCTGATGGACACCAGAACAAAGAAAAACCCTTTAAATTCAGCTTAACACAGTGAGTTAATCTTCCTTATCAACTACTAACCGTGTGAACTACAAGCAGTTCAGAGGCGTTCAAGTGTGGACCTGGAGTTAGGGGCTAGACCTAC